AGTAGAGATAATACCATGCATCTTATCTGATCATAATGGAATGAAACTGAAAATCAATGATAAAAGAAGGAAGGAAAAAGCATACATCACTTGGAGAATGAACAATAGGTTACTGAATGATCAATGGGTTATAGAAGACATCAAGGAGGAAATTAAAAAATTCTTAGAGATAAATGAAAACACAGACACAACATATAGGAATCTATGGGACACATTGAAAGCAGTTCTAAGAGGAAAATTCATTGCTTGGAGTTCATTCCTTAAAAAAAGAAAAAACCAACAAATAAATGATCTCATACTTCATCTCAAAATCCTTGAAAAAGAAGAGCAAAACAACAGCAAAAGAAGTAGAAGGCAAGAAATAATTAAAATCAGAGCTGAAATTAATGAAATTGAAACAAAAGAAACAATTGAAAAAATTGACAAAACTAAAAGTTGGTTCATTGAAAAAATAAACAAAATCGACAGACCCTTAGCCATGCTAGCGAAGAGAAGAAGAGAGAGAACTCAAATTACTAGCATACGGGATGAAAAAGTCAATATCACAACAGACACTTCAGAAATACAGAAGATAATCAAAAATTATTTTGAATCCTTATACTCCAATAAATTAGAAGATAGTGAAGGCATAGATAAATTTCTTAAGTCATATGATCTGCCCAGATTGAGTCAGGAGGATATAGACAACCTAAACAGACCAATATCAATTGAGGAAATAGAAGAAACCATCAAAAGACTACCAACTAAGATAAGCCCAGGACCGGATGGGTATACAGCAGAGTTTTACAAAACCTTTAAAGAGGAACTAATACCAATACTTTTCAAGCTACTTCAGGAAATAGAAAAAGAGGGAGAACTTCCAAATTCATTCTATGAGGCCAACATCACCCTGATACCTAAACCAGACAAAGACACTTCAAAGAAAGAAAACTACAGACCAATATCTCTAATGAACCTAGATGCAAAAATCCTCAATAAAATTCTGGCGAATCGGATACAAAAACATATCAAAAAAATTGTGCACCATGATCAAGTAGGATTCATCCCTGGGATGCAAGGCTGGTTCAATATACGGAAATCAATAAATGTTATTCACCACATCAATAGACTTAAAAATAAGAACCATATGATCATCTCGATAGATGCGGAAAAAGCATTCGACAAAGTACAGCATCCCTTTATGTTCAAAACTCTAGAAAAACTAGGGATAACAGGAACATACCTCAATATTGTAAAAGCAATCTATGCTAAGCCTCAGGCTAGCATCATTCTGAATGGAGAAAAACTGAAGGCATTCCCTCTAAAATCTGGAACAAGACAGGGATGCCCTCTCTCTCGACTTCTGTTCAACATAGTTCTCGAAACACTGGCCAGAGCAATTAGATAGACGAAAGAAATTAAAGGCATAAAAATAGGAAAAGAAGAACTTAAATTATCACTATTTGCAGATGATATGATTCTATACCTAGCAGACCCAAAAGGCTCTACAAAGAAACTATTAGAGCTAATAAATGAATTCAGCAAAGTGGCAGGATATAAAATCAACACGCATAAATCAAAGGCATTCCTGTATATCAGCGACAAATCCTCTGAAATGGAAATGAGGACAACCACTCCATTCACAATATCCTCAAAAAAATAAAATAAAATACTTGGGAATCAACCTAACAAAAGAGGTGAAAGACTTATACAATGAAAACTACAGAACCCTAAAGAGAGAAATAGAAGAAGATCTTAGAAGATGGAAAAATATACCCTGTTCATGGATAGGCAGAACTAACATCATCAAAATGGCGATATTACCAAAAGTTCTCTATAGGTTTAATGCAATGCCAATCAAAATCCCAACGGCATTTCTTGTAGAAATAGAGAAAGCAATCATGAAATTCATATGGAAAAATAAAAGACCCAGAATAGCAAAAACAATGCTAAGCAGGAAGTGTGAATCAGGCGGTATAGCGATACCAGACTTCAAACTATATTACAGAGCAATAGTAACAAAAACAGCATGGTACTGGTACCAAAACAGGCGGGTGGACCAATGGTACAGAATAGAGGACACAGAAACCAATCCACAAAACTACAACTATCTTATATTTGATAAAGGGGCTAAAAGCATGCAATGGAGGAAGTATAGCATCTTCAACAAATGGTGCTGGGAAAACTGGAAATCCATATGCAACAAAATGAAACTGAATCCCTTTCTCTCACCATGCACAAAAGTTAATTCAAAATGGATCAAGGAGCTTGATATCAAATCAGAGACACGCCGTCTGATAGAAGAAAAAGTTGGCTACGATCTACATACTGTGGGGTCAGGCTCCAAATTCCTCAATAGGACACCCATAGCACAAAAGTTAATAACTAGAATCAACAAATGGGACTTACTCAAACTAAAAAGTTTTTTCTCAGCAAAAGAAACAATAAGAGAGGTAAATAGGGAGCCTACACCCTGGCAACAAATCTTTACTCCTCACACTTCAGATAGAGCCCTAATATCCAGAGTATACAAAGAACTCAAAAAATTAGACAATAAGAAAACAAACAACCCAATCAACAAATGGGCCAAGGACCTGAACAGACACTTCTCAGAGGAGGACATACAGTCAATCAACAAGTACATGAAAAAATGCTCACCACCTCTAGCTGTCAGAGAAATGCAAATCAAAACCACCCTAAGATACCATCTCACTCCAGTAAGATTGGCAGCCATTATGAAGTCAAACAACAACAAGTGCTGGCGACGATGTGGGGAAAAGGGTACACTTGTACATTGCTGGTGGGACTGCAAATTGGTGCAGCCAATTTGGAAAGCAGTATGGAGATTTCTTGGAAAGCTGGGAATGGAGCCACCATTTGACCCAGCTATTCCCCTTCTCGGTCTATTCCCTAAAGACCTAAAAAGAGCATGCTACAGGGACACTGCTACATCGATGTTCATAGCAGCACAATTCACAATAGCAAGACTGTGGAACCAACCTAGATGCCCTTCAATAGATGAATGGATAAAAAAAATGTGGCATTTATACACAATGGAGTATTACTCTGCATTAAAAAATGACAAAATCATAGAATTTACAGGGAAATGGATGGCATTAGAGCAGATTATGCTAAGTGAAGCTAGCCAATCCCTAAAAAACAAATGCCAAATGTCTTCTTTGATATAAGGAGAGTAACTAAGAACAGAGTAGGGACAAAGAGCATGAGAAGAAGATTAACATTAAACAGGGATGAGAGGTGGGAGGGAAAGGGAGAGAGAAGGGAAATTGCATGGAAATGGAAGGAGACCCTCAGGGTTATACAAAAGTACATACAAGAGGAAGTGAGGGGAAAGGGAAAAATAATACAAGGGGGAGAAATGAATGACAGTAGAGGGGGTAGAGAGAGAAGAGGGGAGGGGAGGGGAGGGGAGGGGAGGGGTGATAGTAGAGGATAGGAAAGGCAGCAGTACACAACAGACACTAGTATGTCAATATGTAAATCAATGGATGTGTAACTGATGTAATTCTGCAATCTGTATATGGGGTAAAAATGGGAGTTCATAACCCACTTGAATCAAAGTGTGTAATATGATATATCAAGAAATTTGTAATGTTTTGAACAACCAACAATAAAAAATTATAAAAAAAAAAGCTAGAGGAGACCAAAATAAATAAATAAATGGTTAAAATAGTAAATTTTATTTTGGATGTATTTTATCATAATATTTTTAAAAAGCTACCTCAAATAAAAACAATTCAGGTATAATTTTTCGACCAAAAGTTTGCTCCCAAAAATTTTGATCAAGATCTGCATGAATTTTTCTGTCTTCTTATGCTCTAGTTATTGTTCTCCCTTTCTTCTGGTCACTGTCACTTTGTCTACAGCAGACCATTTAAGATGAACTTAATTTCATTGTTAATTATCTAATGTTTCTCAGTGCCCTCATTTATGGCAGGGGTTATCAAAGGGTAGTCCTCTATTCAGCCATAAACAGTGAAATTATGTCATTTGCAGGAAAATGGATGAAACTGAGGGCATTGTGTTAAGTAAAATAAGGCAAATTCAGAAAGTCAAGGGTTCATATTTTTTCTCTCATTTGAAGAAACTAGGAAGAAAAATAAATAAATAAAGGTCGGGGTGGGGATCTCACGAAAATAGAAGGGGACCAGGAGGAAATGGAAAAGAACTAGATAATGAGTTAATCAAATTATATTGTTTTATTGTATATATGTATAAACATTAAACAACAAATCCCACTATTATGTATAATTATAATGTGTGAATGAAAATACCTAGAAAAAATTAAAAGATAGACCTTTAACCATCAGGCTGAGCTTCATTGTCAGCTGAAATGCAAATTCTTAGGCCCATCCACAGGTCTAGGGAGTTGGAAACTATTGAGTAGGCCCCACAAACTGTTTTAATAAGCCTTTTAGGCACTTGGAATAGATGTCTGAGAAACATTGACCTATAATTGCATATAAGCCTTAATCCTACCCCCGTGTTAAGAGATTTTGTGTCCAATTTCCGTCCATAGAATGATCAACGTAAGTCTTATTCTTTTAACATCATCTTTCCCACAAAGCCAATACTTTTTTCCCCAAAAAAACATGACGTATAAATTGGAGAAATTGGAATAGATGATTACAAATAAGCATATTTCTTGATAGATTTGCCAGCACATTATGTGGGAAGACATCTGTGAGATGCATTGGAAAATCTCTCATCTTATGAACATCTGTGAAATGGAGAAGATTTCACTTTGGTGAAGACAGTTTATGTGCCAAAAAAATAATAGGGAGTTAGCTTAAAATAAAACTTGGGGGTTGCAAACTGGAAATATCTTGCGTTTTGAAGCAAATCAGCTGAGTGTTGTGTGTAAATTATAGTTGTTAGACATAGAAAGCAATGAGAGATGAATGAAAGTACACAAATTACAAGTAAACAATTACCACATTATCTGTTTTTACCTTCCCTCCCCCCAAAATTAGATTATTCACCTGCTCTTTTCTACTTACCACACGTTACTGTGCACATTCCAAATTCAACTTCTTTGACTATTGTTTTATTCGGACCTAAATATAAAGTATAAAGATACAGTATTTAATCATATGAAGACTTTTCTAAGTGAAAAACCTCTGACTTGGGATGGGGGATACAAATACTTAACATATGGGCAGCAGGTAATTTTTTTAAAAATTTCTATTAAACCAGAGAAGCAAAGCCATTTCTCATGCATTTACTATTATCTAAATCAAAAGAAGCCTTAACTTTTAAGGAAGTTCATGAAACTAGGGAATAACCTGCAAAGAAGGTTTATATTTAAAACTTGTATATAACTTAAGGGTTTTTTTTATCAGTTAATACATGGTGAGTTAAAAGTCTATTGAAAAATCACAAAAATACAAAAGGCCTTAGAATTTTAAGAAATGAGAACAATTTTTTTCTAATTAAAAGAAATAAAATTTTTTTCAAAAACTCACAAAAAACAGTGCATAATTTTCATCCAAAAAGAGGTCTTATGCCAATTGTTCATTAAAGTTATAAGTGATGGATTGGTTTTACTCACTTTCCAGATTAAAATGGAAAATTTCAATAGTTCTAAGAACATATTTCAATGCTTTATTTAGCAGGATAATCACAGAGTATACAACTTTGAGAAGCTAAAAATTCTTGATTCTAAATCACGTTCTCTTTTTCTAATCATTTGAAGAAGTTGGCATGAATTCCACTAAATATCTTATATAACCAATTCTTCACAGCTCAGATTAGGACTGAAATCTTTCTATAAAAAAACAAATGAGGTATAAGAAAAAAAATTATAAAAGGCAATGTATCTCGGGGCAACAAATCACATAGAAAAGTACATTGAATTTCAAGTCCAAAAAGCTACTTCTAACACTAACAAGCTCTTTGAGTTTGGGCAAATTAATTAAATTCTGTCATACCTAGTTAACCTTTGTTACATTTGGAAAGGAAACCCTATCTGATTTGATATTGTAGGAATTAAATAAGATAATGCATACAAAATAATTCTATAAATTGTTTAGCACTATAAACATGCCAAAGTTGTCATAATTATGCAAATTAAGCTTGTTTTGTAGTTATTAATATCACATCGTATTGATATTTTTCTTATTTTGAATTATTGTAAAACCTCAATAGTTCCATAAGCTTTTCATTCTGTACTCACAAGCATCAAATATAGTTACTTTGAATGCACAGTAGGTACTCAATACATATAAGTAAATCAGTTATTGGCCTTGTTAAATAAATGATTTAGACTATCATAACTTATTAATTTTGAACTGACTTTTTATGCTTGAAATGCTTAAATACTTTCAACTGGCACATAATAAGAAATAAGTTAAAAGCTAAAGCCTGAGCATAAAAAACATAGGTAAGAGAATGAGTACTAGACTACTCACAGCTTCTTTTTACAATGCATTACTCAATTAGCTCTACTATCTACTACCTATACTGCTTTGAGAAATTATTCAATTTCTTCTAACTTGAGCTTCTTTATAGGAAAAAAAAATGAGATTGAATCAGAAGACTCTAAAGTCCTTTTTAGCTTTAATGTTCTTTGATGTATTAAATGTTCATTAGGTCACTTCAATGTTTTTGTTTGTTTGTTTTTTGTAACTATATGTATCTGGACTTCAGTGTGACATTTGTAAAAATTTCCCATTATACACCAATGAATAAAAAGGGAAAATATGATCTGAATGTCAGCAAAGTTTGATGTATAATTGGCCAAACAGGATGATGCACAGATGCTAATTCGTCAGTTGGCGGGAATGTGGTAGAAGTGATGTGTCATGGGGCTCTGTCCTGTTCAACATTTTTATTAATGACCTGAAAAAAAAGAACCCTGATATCATGCTGACTGAATCCAGAATTCTGCAAAGCTATGAAGGATAGCAAATGTGTTCAAAGGTAAATCTGTATCTAAAAATGAAAGGGTAAAGAATGGGCAAATGCCAAAAAAGGAAATCTTAAGAGAATAAAAAGTCCTATACCTAGAGCTCAAAAGTTAACTATCAGAAATATTGTATGGATTGTCTTAATTTGATAGAAAAAAAAAGGTAAAAAAATGAATAGAATCCAACAGTTAGTTCAATAAGAGGCAAGAATGTGGTGAGGCTTCTCCACTAACCACTGACCCACATCCCTATCCCTTTTTTATTTTTAATTTTGAGACAAGAGTTTTGCTAATTTGCTTAGGGCTTCACCAAGTTGCTGAGGATGACTTTGAATTTGTGATCCTCCTGCCTCAGCCTGCCAAGTGCTGAGATTATAGGCATGTGCCACTGTGCCCAGCTTTTTGGACCCTTTGAAATCTAATGATACACACACACACACACACACACACACACACACACGGTATAAATATAATTTTAAAGATATATAAAAGGATAAAAGGCATAAGGATACAAACCTAATATCTTCATAATTTTCCTTTATTTTGAAACATTTTATTATTTTATCATCTGTAATGATGTTATTTTATCATCACTCATTAATTATTCACAACTATTTTTTAAAAAGACTAAAATAATAAAATTGAAGAAGGATTGGCATTGCCTAAAATGATGATGTATTTATGAAGTAAATCATAGCTATTGCATCAGTTTTCTTATTGCTTTGCCCAAAGCATCACGTTACCCCAGGAATATATGAAACAAGTCTAAAGACACTTTTCATGTAGGCTATTTCTGGTTTTCATTAAATAAAATACAGACTTTAGAATTTTTCATTTTTTGCCCATAATGGTAGAGAAGAAAATTGATGGAGAAAAACATTTCTAAATTATTGAATGAGTCAGAAGATGAACACAGACAGCAGAACTTTAGATGAAAATGGTAATGGTGAAATTGATTGTATAAACAGAATCTCAGTGAGAGATGATAGTATCTTAGGTGACTATCCTGGATAATTTTTTTTTAAACAAGGAGTGAGCATTGTATTTCTAAGAATGAAAGAAAATATGGTGTTCTCATCCAGTTATATTTTTGATAGGAAGAATTTGATCTTGAAATATTTTGTGACAACAAGACCATACTGTTTTCTAAAAGGATGTGGACAGTATTCTTTTTTTTTTTTTTTGCATGATGTTTATGCACAAAGATTTACTTGACAAGATTTGAAAATGGACAAACTATGATGACACGTATAAATAAAGGTGACTGGAAGGAAATAGATGGGTTAGAAATGAATAAAACTCATTGAAGGGAGAGGGAGCATGGGAGGAATTGATGAACTCTAGGTAGGGCAGAGGGGTGGAAGGGGAAGGGAGGGGGCAGGGGGTTAGCAATGATGGAGGAATGTGATGGACATCATTATCTAAAGTACATCTATGTAGACATGAGTTGGTGTGAACATACTTTATATACAGAGATATCAAAACTTGTTCTAGTATGTAATAAGAATTGTGATGCATTCCGCTGTCATGTATTTAAAAAATAAAACCAATAAAAAGACAATGATCATTTGTTATACTAAATTAGTTTTGTTAAATAAAATTTTAGGAAAGGTAGCAGAATACAACAGTTACTAATAGGGCATTATGTAAAAATGTGGATGTGTAACCGATGTGATTCTGCAATCTGTATTTGGGGTAAAATTGGGAGTTCATAACCAACTTGAATCTAATGTATGAAATATGATATGTCAAGAGCTTTATAATGTTTTGAACAACCAATAAAAAAAATTAAAAAAAAATAAATAAAATAAAAATAGAAAATAAAAAACTCATTGAATTAATCATTTCATTTGCTGTTTATAAACTGAAAATGAAAGTGTTCTGCAATTATGCAGCAAAAAGATGGCATTCATCTCTTTAACAAAACACGTGCCTTCAAAGTTTTCAAAAGTATTGTGCTTTGACAATATAAGTGCAAAAAGAACCAGAGTAATGATAATCCAGACTTTATGAGACATGTACTTGAAATCTGGAATCAGTATTTATATGATGGATATATTACAGGTTCATGCTTAACAGTTTGAGCATTTAGTTTTATTCAAACTTCTTTCAAGTTAGGTTGTGAATACCTTCAAAACTAAGATACAAGGAATAAAAATTTGGGTTTTGGTGTGTTTATATTTTTATTAAAATTTCTAACAAAGTTGTTTTCACTAACCCTTTATTCTTACTTTTGGAAATTATTTGTAAAATTATTTAAAAGTGAAAAATATAATAGTTCACTGGATAGTAATGGTGATGCCTGGTTTTACTGGTCCTCCAGAATTAGAAGAGCTGTGCAAATTTTAATAAGAGTCCTGAAAATTTTCTGGTTGTTTATAGTTCTAGCTTCTCAATCTACCCAGATAAAACACCCATGCATGAAATTATACGTCTCTCAAGTCCACAGATGAGGAAACTTAGACACTGAGAGAATAAGTAACTTATCTACACTTGAGTTTGAATGTAAGGCATTGTAACTTCATCACCTGGGTTTAACTTAATAATATTTACCATTTTACAGCTAGAAGTATCCCTTCATTAGTTTAACACTAAAGTCATTCACTCAATTTCTTTGAAAAATAGACTGAAACAATAGCTACACTGCTTTAGAACATATGCTGCCCTTCTCATCTTTCTTTTTCACATTTCCAAAGTCAAGGACCTTTTCAAACTCTCTATAATGTAATCAAGGCGGTTCAAGCCTGGATCCTACTATTAAACTCAGATAGTCAATTTCTTTCCATGCTGAGGGTCACTATCTATCATTGGGAAATAAAACAAAGGCTGATAGACACAGCACCCACTCCGTACATATAGACTGAGGAGACAAAAGAATGCTAAGAATACTAAAAGAATTTAGCATCAGCTGGGTCATTTATGGGGAAAGGGAATCATCCTCTTGAAGACTGCAAACCTGCAACTGACCATTTACCCACCAGCATGTGAGTTACTGATCAATATAACATGTACAGCAGCTTGTCAAGTTTTATTGCTTAATGAGCCAACAGTATAAGGCAAATTTATGTACCAAGCACAGGCTCATTCTCCCTTGGTTAATATGTTATCATCTAACAATGCCATTAGTTGAATCCCCTGATAAATGTTTTCTACTGCCACCATTCCTTTGTTGAAGCTAAACATACAAATAAAACAAAATACAACAGTGTGAAAGTGCTCAGTGGTAAGGGGCTGCACAAAGATGACATGGCCTATACATGGGCAGTTTTGTGGGCTATCTAGATGTGTCACAGTAAAGGGAATTATAAATTCCATTGAGTTCCCACCCTAAGGGGAAATGTGGAAAGAAAGAGGGCTACCAGCAATTTCGAACTTTAAAAACAACAACAAAAACTACAATGGGGAGGGGAAATTATTGCAACAAGAGTCAAAACCAAGATTTCCCCTTGGTAGGAAGCTACCTTCACCCCTTTAAAAAAAGTTTTTCTTTCTCCAAAGCAATATTTAAAACTATTTCTTAAGTAGCTTCTACATATGCTTATTTGGTTATCTTGCTTGGACAACCAGCACATCCTTCTTCAAAGCTATAAGATGCACAAAATGGATAAACGCAGGGCTGATATATGCAAGAAAGCTCCACAAATGGTAACAAAGGTGATTCTCATTATTATTGGGCAAATAAAGAGTCAGCTTTTTGCCCTCAACAGGTGCCTCTGGGCGCCTGTCAAGGAGCCCCCTGCTCTCACCAGCTTCCTCGTTATCAGGCAGAGGGCCCTCGTTGTTGTCCCCTTCGCTTTCGTTGTTGTCACCGGTGTCCTCCTCGCTGTCGCTGTCGCTCTCGCTATCGCCTTCGCTTTCGCCCTCGTGGGCCTCGTGGGGCTCGTGGGCCTCGTGGACCAAGGGGGGTTCCTGGATGGCGGTGACATTGGTCCCACACGAGGACTGGAAGCCCGCCAGGAGCAGCCAGCCCACGGTCAGTAGCAGCCCTGCGGAGCAGCCCGCGCCCCCTGGGCTCATGGTTCTCGGCCCCGACGGCCGCCCAATGCACACTCACAGCCCCGGCTCCAAAGGAGAGGCGCTTCGAAGAGACCTGCCACGCCGCACTCGACTAGGAACCCCTGCGTCGCGCCCAGGCAACCATTGAGTCGTCACGGCTCGTCACCGCCATCCCGGTGGGGCCGCGCCTGGGCAGACGCCTGGAACCGCGCAGAGCCATGCGGTGCAGCTGGTCACCCGCGCACCGGGGTGCGGGGATGCGGGGTGCTGAGGGCCCTTGCTGGCATGCCAGCCTCTTCGCGCAGCTTGCTTGCTTGCTTCTAAGACATTCCCTTTGCGTGCTTCCTATGTTTACTCTCTCCAAACTGGACTCCTTAGATCCTCAAGCACTATTCATGTGATGTGGCTGCAAAATTACCTGTCCAAAATATCCAACTAGGGACGACGTGACAAGAAGGATTCACCACAGCCTTATTAAGTATGGTGCCCTTAACTAGATCCATAACTGCAGGTGAGGTTCGCTTTGTAGAAAATATAAGTGAGCATTTTGTTTCTTCGATTTGTGCATTATTGTGACTGCAATGCAATCACGTATTCACCTTTTAAGATTTTGTGCAGCATCATCAGCTCCATGTAGAACGTCATTGAGCGAGACTGGGATTATGGGGTGAGGAGGTGCTCATGCAAGTTTTCAAGCAATCTTGTCCCCATTCGTTTTATTGGTGGGGAGTAGCTGATAAGTTTGGGGTACCAAGTGTGAGGCACAGGACTTAACCTTCATTCCTGGTAACTTCCATCTTCTTGGTTTGAATTTTGTGGGTTGTTGGTTTGGTTTGGTTGATTGGTTGGTTTTTATTTGTTTGATTGGCTTTTTTTTTTTTTTAATTCAGTGAGAGATTCTTTCAAATCCTCCTGATTCTTAATTCTGTTGTTAAATATGCTTCCTAAGTTTGATTTGGAAAATATGTCTCCTTCAGATCACTGTCAAAAATGTTAAAAGTTCAACAGGCCAAGGATGGAGCCTTGTGAGGCTACACTCTGACATATGTTCCACTAATTTGTATGTTGGTTTAAACCAAGACTCTCTTCTTTTTAACCAAAAAGGAATTATGTGTTTTACTAAGGTTGAATCAGGCTAGAAGAAAGAATACCTTAATACCTTAGCATTTCCATTTGAATCAGTAGAAAATCTTAAAGCTTAGGTGTAACTCCCCACTGCCTTATTCAGTATCAATATGTCCAATTATGTTATAGAAAGAAATGAAATTTAGTTAAGTTCCCTCTATTGAAAGTGTGAATTTCAATGGTCTAATTAATTCAGATTTCTTCTTTAGGAATAGAATCATAGCATTGAGTCAAACAAGCTTAGATATCATCTAAATGCTTCAAACCTCTTATTATTAAATGAGATAGAGAACTGGAGAGAGTAAATGACAGACCCAAGATTGTTCAGCAAATTATTTGCAAAGCTGGATCTCATAACCAGATCGCCTGACTGCTCATTCAGTGCATAGTGATTCTTACAATGCAAAGTTGACAATGAATATGTATTTAGTGGAGTGGTTGGGAGTCAAGAGTTCAGGAACTAAAAAAGCAAGTTAAGATTAACTTTTTAAAAATTTTGTTATTGCAAATTTGATTTTAATGTGGTAGTTTGTGATTTTATGATTGTTTTTAAAAAGACATAGAGGGTGTCATCCTTTAAGGCTCAGTGTTTAAATTCCTATGACATCCAGGATGGGCAGTCACACTATAAGCTGAACTTGAGGCATAAACTCTGGCCTTTGGAGTATTTGTGTATCCAGTCTCAGCAGAGTAACTGGTAAGCTGATAACTCAAATTCTTCAGGACCATTTATTTGTAACAAAAGTAGATTATGTGAAGCAAAAGTAGACCTTTTTTTTGCATTTTTCTCTCACAAAGGCTTCTAGTATTGAAAAGACAAGAACTGCAAAAAAAGTGATCAGCATTAAAATTTGAGTTGGTATTGGTAGGGAGTCTCTGGGAATATTTTATATGAATTCAAAAACCCTAAAGTACTGTGGCATCTGACAAGATCATGAGGGACATTAAAATGAGAAATTTTTGATTCTTGGCAAGAATAAAAAAATAATTTTTTGAATGCTGAGAATAAGTAAGAAAATCATGCTTTCAAACAGAACTTTAAAAAGGAAGTTCTGAACTACTGTCAAGGGCAAATTATTGAGCGTTTTTAGGGCCTCTATTCCTATATAGTACCCTTTTGAGTACAGGAAGTTCCATAAACCCTAAATAATACAATTGAATTCAAGGAAACTTAATCACCTAATATATAAGCAGCTCCAAAGGGCATCCAAATGGATCTTAAAGGGGAACTGAAATATATGACTCTGAAATAATGAAATAGGATTATATCTACAATATCAACAAAACAATGTGCCTTTTTATAGTAATTTGTATAAGGAAAAACTTAGTATCTGTCCTCAAGAAATTTATACATTGTCTAGGTGAAGCCACAGTAAGTGAAAAGTAAATTTTTAGCCAAGGTATCCAAGACCCTGCTCTGACCTGGGGATACCAAGGAACAGGAATTACAGCTTCAGTCCTCCTTTCCCTTGGGTCACTAAGTATCTCTGCTCTGTTCTAGTTTCTAAGAGGCAGAGAGGAGAGCCACTCCACCCATCCCACCCCCTCCATCCTAAGCTGCCTTGCTGGCACTCACTTGATATGCCTAGGGGCAGGAAAGTCATCCCTTTCCCCTGTCTCCACTCTACCCACACAGGAGGACTCCATGCTCTGAAAAGGAAGAACAGTTTGAAGTATTTATAATATGCACACAAGACAATCAAGGCCTGTTTATAGGATCACCATAAAAATTTTAAAAGGAAACAAATATGAGAGAAATTACAAAGGAAGGATTGATAAAGTGGAGTAACTGGCTGTCTTAGTGAGATGGAGGAGAGGAGCAAATGAAGGGAATTGCAAAAGTTGGTAAATATTTTGATTAATGGGGTTAAGTTACAGGTGTCAACAGAAGTCAAGTGGTAATATCCAGCAGACAGCACACATACATTAAGAAAATGAAACCATTGACACATTCTATACACATAAAAATAATATGTGTACATCCAGTTAATAGAATGTTCTAAGTCCTATTGTAATATTAGAAACTTTATAGCAGTGTTTATGAAAATAGCTGCCCAGGAGAGAAAACTTATTTAGGCTTTAATATGCTTAACCTAGTCAAAATCATTCCCCAAAGTCATCCACCATTGAGAAGGCTCTCACACTATTTCTGTGATACATCCACATTTTAGAGAAAAATAATTTTTTCTTCCTGGAACACAAGATCTCAGGAGCAGGATTTCTCCTGTCTATACTTCTCCTCCTCCTCCTCCTCCCCCCCACTCATATTTCTCCCCCTACCCCTTGGCACTCTTATCCCAGGTGGTTCTTCTCTATCCATTCTCTGTCAGTTTAAACCATTGTTATACAATGGAAGAATTTTGTGATAGAAATTAGGAAATCTCCAGGTTTTTTGAATGTAGGAATAGTAGTTTCAAAGAGTCATAGTATATCCTCTTCATCCATTTCATGGTCAGTAGCTTCTTGCTCTTATTTCAGCCCTATCCTCTCCTACCCTTGTATTTTCTCATCTAATGCAGCTACACACAAAGGCTGTCCTCTCTGTAGGCATTCTTAGGACTATAAGAATTTACTAAGTGTTAAAGAAAGAACATATTAAACTCTCTATTAAAACTTCTATTTTAATAGGAAGAGTTGAAAAGCCATCAAAATTAAATAATATTCTAGAGAAATATGGTCAGCATTTTGTAACAGCAATAAATAGCATGTTGTGCATGAGTTTTGATAGAAGGCACATAGCATTCTCAAATTCCTCTATTCACAGGGTGATATAAACCATATTTTTTACGTTTAAATAAGGTACCCTACCTGTGGTTATGCAGGTTATGAATGCCCAGCCTCACTCAGCTACATGTGCTGAGTGAGATTGGTATGTAAAACAAAATTTAGTATTTATGCGGGTCATTGGGTTTCCCCTAAAATTTTTGTGATCCTAATTTACTTATTTTATCTTTGAGTCTATAATAAGCATACCAAATAAATACTCTTATTTTCTTGGTTACTAAGGAACAAGTACAAAGTTCCATTCCAGTACTTCTCTACCCACACCCACTCCAAACCCAACTTAACTGCTTTCTTCTTTCATTCATCTGATTTCCCCCAAACAGGTGTGCCCCTCACCCTGCTTTCTAACCATGAATTCCCAGGAAATAACTCTATTGCTATCCTAATTTCTGAATTCAGTTACTTCTGAAATCTCCAGTTTCTTTATAACTCTCTTTCTAATTCTACTCCCTGCCACCATCACTATCTAACCTTGCAGGTGTGACAACTCACATGGTTTCAGGATATATATTAATAACATGGCTACATAAAAGTATACTATCTTTTGATATATTTAAGCCCAGTTATCTTTTCCCATAGGAATATATGTTCTTTCTTTAACACTTGGTAAATCCTTATAGCCCTAAGGTTGAGAATCAAAGAACTGGATATCTTTAGTCTTTAGGAAATCTTCCCTGGTACCACTAAACATCATAAATACCTAAAATAACCTCAGATTTCCACTTTACTTTCAACTAGCTAAAAGCACAAGATGGGCATTCTGAAGAAGAGTGCTTCAGATGTAGGTAAAAATAAAAACCTTGCACTTCCCCAAACTCATACTCACTTTTAAAATATTCTGGGTGCTTTAATATGCAAGTAAAGATTTTTGCCCCCAAATGAGATTTTTAAAAAAGTAGCATTATTGAGATACAGTGTCATACAAGAAATTGCACATATATAAAGTGTGCATTTTGGGAAGTTTTGACATGCAAGTGTGCACCTATGAAACATCACCACAATCAATAACAATGAACATGTCCATCACTGCAGGAAGTTTGCTCACCCCTTTTTTCTGAAACCACTGATCTCTGTTACTGACAGATTAATTTTTTTTTTTTTGAGTACCAGAG